TGAATGATCANAATCAGTTCACACAGTTATGAAGACAAAACCATGAGTACTATGTAATTCTATACATACATGTCTTGTTTATAAGAATCCACATGAATGAAGAAATTCATTGTAATCCACAAGAATTTAGCTCCCGTAAATCAATAAGTTTGCACCAGAGATACAGTGAACAATGGAGGTAGTAATGTAATTGAGTGCCCTTGTATGTTACATATAATATAATATCAGATGCATGAAGTATGAATTTCCTACATGGATTGGGGCACAACTCACCTTGGCTCTTAAGGAACACTTTCATAGCCTAGTTTTTGGTATACTATGCAAACTTAATATATGATGATTGATTCAAAAATATTCTCACAAAAGGGACAACAAGTTTCCTTCGATGTAAGAATTATGTCTGCCTCAAGCTTCTAAAGCCACTTTGTTGATATCTAAATTTACTCCTTGAGATTAAGACACTTCACCTCAAGAGGTCACAACCACATGAAAATCAACCAAAAATTGTTGTATATTTCTTCCTTGTCACTACTGCCAGTTAAATAGACACTATAAAAACCACTGAAACTACAGAAACTGGTATACTCACATGAGACATTGTTGTATATTTGGTCTGAAGTGAAATCAACCGAAAACCATCCAGTAAGAGGCTGTCCGTTTACAGAATAAGTTTTCTGCCCTTTAGGGAAGACAGATGAAATAGTTGTCGAATTATCAAGTCTCAAATCTGACTGGCAGATACCACCTCCATCTTTTGTTAATTGAAGATCACAAAGCAGAACCACATTTTTCAAACTTGTAGACTCTGCAATCTGGTATGCATATTGGCTAGACTCGGGGAAGATCCCAGAAAAGCCACCTCGTGCTACAACCACAGGAGCCTCACCTATAAAAAAAGATGTCTAAAATCATTATTTAATTTAATATAAGAGATAATTTACCAAAAAATGAAATAACACAAGATGATATTAGTAAATTAGGACATGAATAAAAAATCAAATCTTTATGTGTTGTGGGGAAAAAAAACTTGAAATGTTAAGAGCAAAAATGTTATCATCACAATATCTCATCATACACAACAAACTGAGATACAAATGAATAATAGCCAGTCTGGACGTTTTGTTTCAGGAGTCAGAAGAAAGTTACTCTAATTTTTATAAACAAATTTTAAACCTTCCACAGGCATGTCATAATATCATTTTATTGAAAAGCTAATTTGTTTCGCCAAATGGTGTGTGTATGCTCGTGGAAATGCAATTTAAGGTCATTACGGGTTCAAACTGTATAAATTCTAAATTGTTTGTATAATAAAGCTGTATATTTTTCTTCTTTTTCAATTTTGTTCTTGGACAAGCAACAAAAGCAGTACCTATCACGTCTTGGAAGCTTAGATTGTCGCCTATCAAAACCCTACATCGAAGAAGATAACAGAACAGAGAGCAATCATACACACAGGGTTGAAATCATACCGCTCAAGGTCTGCCACTTTGCAGGAGGCTTCACAGCTGCGGCCCCATGAAGAAGCAAGATCAGCAGAAACACATTTAGCCTCATTCCCCCCGATTCCTAGAACGAATCCTGGAACCAGAAACAGAACAAATTTATTCCAGAACCAATGCTCAGATGATTTCTTCGTTGATAGAGATGGCAATCAAATTGGTCACGAAAACCAACCTCGCAGATTAGCAACTATGTTTTATGCGGTCCCCCAAATCAAAGGAAGGTTTCCTGGCGCTCAGGAAACCTGCAAACTATAAGAACGGAGAAGAAAGAGAATGCATGGAAGACCGATCCTACTTGCAAAAGAAGGCATGTTCATGAATTTATTCGTTGCTTTTTTGTTGTGGGGGAGGAAGAAAAAGTAATGGACGAGCTTAAATCTCTCTCGCTCTCTCCCTCTCCCTCTCTCTCTCTCTCCCTCCTCCCTCCTCTCTCTCTCTCTCTCTCTCTTACACATATCTTGGCGAAGCACTTGTCCTCGAACCTGAAACCGCCATCCTACAAACGCGCTCCCTCCCTTCGCGAAAGCAAGAGAGAAGAACCAAGTTTGACCGTCCACGTCGTACGACATCCCCTCGCCCGTCGCAGACGATGAAGCTGGCGGCGGAATAAACCGGCCTTTTTCGGGCAATGTCTCCTCTGTACCCGCACCCCGAGGGAAACAACCGGTGATCTCATTCCCGGCATGCAATTGTAATCAGTATCATCTCTTCTCTTCTTTGTCTTCCACCACGCGTTGTTGATTCGCCGCTGCCAAGTATGGATCGCGTTTCTCTCTCTCTCTCTC